TAAAAGCAGTTTTATTAAATACGTAAATATTAAGTATACTGTGTTCTCTAGTTTGACTCTTGTCAATCTACAGTAAAATACTGCAAGTTGGTATTTACAGCCCTAGTTGTGTTAGATATGTAATATGTTGCTACTGAAAATAGTATCCAGATTTGCCTTTATTGCCAGCTTTAGTTAAGTATTACTGCAGGGGATCAATTTTTTTTGCCCTCATGTCACTTGAGGATCTACTTTAAGTCAGTTAACTTCTGATGTCCTACTGCTGAGTAGCACAGGTAGAACATAGATCTTGTATTTGTACTGCTGTGTAGGTGATACTGTGTTTTATTTTTCTGTTATTGACTATGACTTAAAAGTCTTACATAACAATGTCACACTAGTTATACGAATCTTCAGACCAGCTAAGGTGGAGGCTTGAGTTGCAGTAACAACAAATGTATTCTAATGTAATCTTCTTTGAAAATGAAATATTTTTTCTCTCTGGATATGAAAAACTTTAGATTTCTCTCTAGATTCTCCTTGTCATTGTATATATCTTTACATTTACTGGATACATAATTACCTTTAGTGCTGTGTAGGCAAATCACAGTAAGTAGATTGTTCTGGAGTTTAAAATATTGGGAGTGCTAAAATGTTCTTTGAATGTCAAGTTTCATCATAAACATTTATGCTTTGATCTCTCTGAATACTTCAGAAAACATACACTACATTCTTGTGATCTGGCCCCCAAGAGTAATGCTATAAGGAAGATAGCATATATATTTTGTTTATTTTTAGTTCAAATTACGTAGTTTGTTTCTTAAGAATTTTAGTGTTTAATGCTCTGTGATAGTTCAAGTTTTGGTCTGTCTGCATGGACTTAATCTTCATATAACTTTGATAAATCATAAGGTCTGAAAGTGTGATCGACTTTGGGTTCTGATGTGTCCTGCAGGTTGGTTTGGTAGATCTTTTACTGAAAGATTTCTTAGACAACTCTTCAGAGATTTGTAGAAATGCACAGCAGTTCATTGATTGCAGTTCACTTGGTGCATTGTACCTGCAGAGCATCCTCTATGGACAGATCTCTGCTCTCCATTAGAAGAGAAAATTTCTAATGGTCAGATTTTGAATCCTGAGTTCCTAGCTTTGTGAAGGTAAAAAACAACTTTTTCTTGAATTTTTTCTTCCCCTGCCTTGAAGTTGCTCATCTGGAAGAGAGCTTGTACCAGAGTGAAAGCATTTGTTGCTCATCAGGTTTCTTCAGGAGGTTTTGGCAGTACAAGATTCCAGGCTCTTCTCTGTACGGTGTGCTTACTTCCAAAACTCCTTATGCACTGTGGTTTAAAATACTGCATATCAAGTACAAAAACGTGGGATTACACTGAGGCTCAGTGTCTTTATTGTGTTTTGCCTTCAATATGTTCTGTGGGTTGCTAGCAATTCATACAGCTTTTTGTTTTTAGTAACTTGGAGGTTTGTTTTAAAACACTATTTGGATAATGCTTTTTCAGCTGTCAGGTCTATTTACATACCTAAAATTTGATACTCTGAAAGTGTTAAAATGACCTAGAATGAAAATTATCCAGTCATTTTAGAATGAAAAAAGTTTGCATCTATCAGATGGTTTTGTTTCAAAGTGCCAGTTACATTTAGGCTTTTATGACTTCCATTGTAGAGATATATTTTGTTTGTAGGCTGCATAAAACTAACATTAGAGGCGCAGTTTGATACTGAAATACAGTGACCCCCATGCTCTCTGTTGGCTGTCAGGAGCTCCATCCCTGCTCCCTTGGCCAGCCAAAGGCACGTAGTAAAGCCAGATTGAGCAGAACTGCTCCTTGATTATGCCCTGGGGACCAACAGTTACAACTGGAGCTGGGCTTCTCGGTGCTGAAGTACATGGAAATGCTTTTACAGGAGCTACCAGCAAGTGGATCATTGCAGATGAGTGAGAGCACATGGAAGGTGCATTATAGGGGAAGCAGGTGTAATGCTCTGTTTTCATGAAGTGCTCTAAATACAGACTTCAGGTTTTGGATCTTCATGGTGTAAGATTGAAAATGGAATGTCCCTAAAGATCATTCAGGATTTTGATGGTAAATCCTAGGGAAATAAACGAGTAAAGGCCTGAACGTGTGGGGAAAACCTCTGGTTTCTTTAAAAGACAGTGTGAAGTTTTCCTGCTTATGTTTATTTAAAAAATAAACAAATCCAGAACAAAAGAGGCTCAGCTGCATTATCACTTTAGCGTTAATAGAATTCAAACAGATCTTTTTCAGCCATTAATTTTACACGGTTATGGTACTGTGCTGTAATTTTGGAACACTTCAAGTAACTGCACAGCAATTTTTAATTTATTTTAACATAAACCATGAAAAGTCTGGTTAAGAACACCCATGTATCAGTGGCTTAAATCAGTTCTGTGTATCTTAAAAAAAATAGACATTTATTTTAAAAAGATGAGTTTCGTGTGGACTGAAAAACTGTATAAACTATTTCATAGTGTAGATTTTTAATCCAGTGTTAAGAATTGTTTAAATGTATGAAAAAAAAAACATTCTTTAGCTAGGCAAAGTAATTTGACAATATTACCAAGAACATTATTTCATGTATCCTCTAATATACACAGCACGTCAGTAGGTTGAAGCATTTGCTTTTGCATTTTTTTTTCTGGAATTCTGTTTGCACATTGTGGGGTTGAGCAATAATTTCTAAAATTACCCAGTTTTGATACTCCTTCATAATGAATTGTTTGGTAAAAATAAAATTATTTTGTCTAAGTCACTGGTTCCCAAAGTACACAGTTGTTTGGGGTTGTCTAGATTTTTCTTGATTAGGAGTTGTTGCATAAATGAGCAAATGCTCACTTTCTGGTTTTAGGATTGTATTGCAAATAACGTTATTGTTTCAAAGGCTTGTGCAATATTTGCATATCAGTGCTGCATTGTGTTGGGTAGTAGCATGAGTGTCTTGCTTATTTCTTCATCAGATTTGAAAGTGCAGCGGCAGAACCATTTTTATTTGCAAAGCCTGTTTTCACTTTTGGTCTGTTTTCATGATTCCATAGTCATGTCAGTGTTGATCTGATCATGCTGTTCAAAAATCTGCAAGATATTTCTAATTTGAAGTTACCTGTAATGCTGCAGGTATCCTAGATATTAACCCTTGCCATTTACCCTTCTATGACAGTGTTTAAGTCATTTCACTTAATCTGGCCTTTGTGTTAGTGGTTCTCCTTGCTCGAAATCTTGATGTCTGGTTCTATTTAAGATAGTGAGAGTAAAAGCATCAGGATCAAAATGTATTCTGGCTCAGCCCGTATGCTGAGCGGGAGTGCTGTTTCCATGGCAACACACAGGACAGTGAGGGGGAAGGCTGATGCCTTTTCCTCCCATTCGGAGAGTTTACAGATCCAAACAATTACTCTTAGCAAGATTCACTTAAAAATCAGTGTTTATAGCAGAGGGGGAAATAATGTTAATGAAAATTGTTAATATGCATCCATATTCTTGTGATGGTTTGTTTCTTTGATCATGGAGATTCATTAGTGCAAAACACAGCTTTTGGCAAATGCAAGAAAAATGTGCTAACTATAGCAGCAGTGATCTTGGACACGTTAAATGCAGGGTGCTCTGACGTTCGATGGTGCTGCCAGTGCTGCTGGACAGAACATTGCTATACCCTTTAATGTAAGCTGCCTTCCTCTGGGAGGCTGCATTGTTAAATATAGTTGACATTTCCCTAGGAGCAAGTTCTGAATAAGCAAAGGGTAAACAGTTAACCATTCCAGAGATGATGAAGTTTTGCAATTAATTTTTTGTTGCTGTTGTTGTTTTTTTTACAAATGGCAGGTTTTGGAGCAGGTAGTATGCTAAATTAGTATTTCATTACTGTAGTGCAGCTGTGTCTCAGCCTCGCCCATTTTATTTATTATCAGAACCATAGGCTGGATGTTTTCTGTGCTCAAGCTTATAGATAAATCCTTCTTCCTTAAGCGAGTGGGGAAAGCATTATGTTCTACTGTTGGAATATACTGGGGTTCTTTTAAGGCACAATACTTTGAATTGAGACTGTTTAGTCACTAGGCATGAATTTCTTTCATGATTAAAAATCCACAAACCTGAAATTATAGGAAAGAGGAGTGCAAGCCCCGGAATATTGTCTGCCTGTCTAATTTTTTTAACGAAGGATTGGAATAGTGGCAAATACCATGTGTGGGAATGAATTTATTTGCATGGAGAATTTTCACCTTTTCCTCTGGCGTTGGCTCCCAGAAGATGATGTCACCTTGCAGCTCATTGGTTGTGCAGCACCTAGTGCAGGGAAGGGAAAGAAAGATGCCGGCACAAATCTCAGTGGTGGATCTAGGGTGTTTGCGAGCAGATTTTGATAGAACCTTTGATTAGTATTAAGAATTTACTGCATGTGGCCATGTGAGGTGCTGGGTCCGTCCTAGGGTGAGGGGATTGAAGAGCTATCAGAGGAATGAGGCGGCTGATCTGCAAGAGGATCTGTGATTGTAAGTTGAAAAATCTGGGTGGAAGGAAGGAGACAGGGAGTGCTAGTTAGACACATTGTGGGAGGATGTGTAGCAGAAAATGCATGCATGAGTGAAAGAAGGAAAAGGAGAAGCATTTTTCTTCGGTAGACTGGAATGATAAAAATTATCACTTTTGTTTTGGGAAAATATTAAGAAATGGTTTAAAAAATTCAGTCTGTGCAAAGATATTTTTCCTTTGTGGGAGTGGATGTGTAGGATTCATTTTTTATGCTCAGTTCTACTGTGGTTAATTAGGAAGGTAAAATAATATTTTATAAGAATGTGAAATGTGGAAAATGCTGTTTATCTCCCATTGTCATTTTATTCCTAGATCAGAGACAGGACAAACTGATAAATACTTGTTTTATTTATGCATTTTGTGATTTTTTGTGCAATGTGAAGGAAAATAATTTTTGTTAGGAAATTAAAATACACCCATTCTAATAGCTCTATTTTTATTTAACATATCTTTTTCTAGACAAAAGCTTTGATGATGAAGAGTCAGTGGATGGAAATAGGCCATCATCTGCTGCTTCAGCCTTCAAGGTTCCGGCACCTAAAAAGCCAGGAAATCCTTCAAACAGTGCAAGAAAGCCAGGATCAGCTGGTGGGCCTAAGGTTGGAGGTAATGTAAAGCTATTCAGATTCTAATCAGTGTTCCCAGAAACCTTGCCAGAGAGGCACAAAACAGAGAACTTTAGAAGGTGATGTTTAATTCATGACTGCAGTATTTTTGCAGAGCTGAGAATAGTGAGGGACCCTGTTTTATATAATTATTCATCTGTAAAGGTGTGTGCATATCTGTCTATTTTTGTGAGTGTACACTGAGCTTATAAAGGTCTCTCATATTATAAATAAAATTAATGTCTGGAGATAGCATTTATGTTGGTGAAAGGAAAAAAATAAATATATATATATATATGTATGGGTGTCTCTGCTGGAATCCACACTGCACTTACTGTATATATAAATATTCTGTGAAATTCTGGAGAAGGTCTGTGTAGATTAAATTTTTACTGTAGGTCTGCACTGTTTCACGTGGCTAGAAAGGATTAGCCATTGCCCAGAGCCCTCATCAGAGGTGTATGTTACATCTGGATGACTTTTATTATTATTCTTTTAACTGTCAGTGTTGTGAAATTGGTTGTGAAAGATAAAAAATGAGGGCCAAAACCCTTGGCAGGATTTTTTTGCATGGTATGGCTTTAAAGCAGTGTATGAGGAATGCTTAGTAATTATGATCTTAGAACAGGGAAATCCGCATTTTTTTAGGGCGGGGGTAGTCTAACAAAAGCAACTGTTTACTGTTAAAGAAGTGGCTGCTTTTTTGATGGTTCATGTACGCATTCAGAAAAAAAATACATAATTCTGTGGAGATACACCATGCTTCAGGTACAGGGTTTTTATGAATAAGTGATTCTTTTAGTAAGGGGTTTTTGTAAGAGTAATTTTTCCATGTTCCTGTTCATGTAATCTCATATATGATCTGCAAAGCAAATATAAAATTTGGAAGAAGATATACGTGGCAAACAAGCTGCCTTAAGTATTTTCACATTACTAAGATACAGCTGATGTTTTGAAAATTTATTGGTTTTCAATAGTGATCTTAAGAATTCCTAATAAATTGAAAAGATCTCCATAGGGCTGGATCAACACTGTCGTAGTCTAACTGAGAATTGATAGGAATATATATCAGAATAGTATCAGAAAATACCACCTAAAAGACTCCATAAAAGAAATTCTCTCATTGATAATTGTTATTGTTGTTATTATTGCACATAGTGTTACAAATGAGTAAATATAAATGAATAACTAATTATAATGTAACCTCTTTAACCTGAAGCATGGTGGTTTTTGCATGCAAGACTAACATACATAGCACCAGAACTGAATGCTTAGGATTCCTCTTTATTTCAATATGGACTTTTAATAATATTTTACTAAATGTAGATGGTTCTTAATGTATTTTTTTTACATGTAGGCTTTCACTTTACATGCTCTGCAGTAAAAACATGAAGATACAAGGTGAAGGGAGATAAGAACAGAATAACCACTCACTGATTTTTCAATTTATCTAAAAATACAGTAGTAAAGCAGATTAAGATTAAAAATTAGTACATTGTTTTTTCTCTTTTTCCTATATTGCCAAACTTTAAAAAAATTAAAATTAAGCATGCCAAAACCAGACTACTTTGGTCATTCCTTGCTTTATACCATCTCCTTTCAACTGAGGAAGATATTGGGGTGTGTTTACATACCCATCTATTTCCCTTCTTTTTTCATTCTGTAGGATGTCTGTAGTCAGAATTTTAATACAGTATTTACAAATCCTGCATCTCCTAGCCTATTCAAGAACATTCGTATAGATGCCAAATGTATTTCTTAAACAGTAAGGACATAGTCTCGTCCAGAAATGAGGAGTTTCCTGTAATAATCTTCATATGAACAATGACTCTAGGTCATACTAGAGGCCTGGGCAATCCACTGTCCCATATGAGAGTGGTCAGAAACAACTGCTAGAACAGAAGTGTCTAGAGGCACACTGTCATTATGGGACAAAATGCTGGTTGTAGGAAGCTTTATTCCACAGAGAGCCATGGTCTTTGAAGAGCCCATTTAGGGCATCCTGTTCTCTTTATCTGGAGACTTCCTGCATCTTTATGACTACAACAAAACCTTGATGCTCTTTCACATCCAGTTTCTGTAGGATCTATTTTGCAGGTGCCTAAAGGACACCTAAGATTTTTCTCCAGCCTCAAAATTGCCATCTCCATGGAGTACATTTATAGTTCTGGAAGTTGCTTGCTCTTGCTGATGTAGTAAGAATCTGCTGTATCCTACAGTCCCAAATCCTTGTGCTTTCCACTGCATTCCAAGTCAGTAGTCAGTGGGTGTGCCATTTCTCGCCTTTTCCTCATAAGCGCTGGATGGGTATTTCAGGCTTTCACTGCTCACCTCGTGCTTCTGCCACCTGTTGGTCCTGCTTGTCCCTTTTCTCCGACTCTCAAATGTCCATTAATCCATATTCAGAAGTTGCAGTTCAGCCTTGGAGGAAGAACTAGGAGCAGCTCCTTTAACTGTGTTGCTTTTTATTTCCCTTCCACAAAAATCTCCAAAGTCATGTAAGTGACCTGCAGTTGAAGCAGGTTTTTACTGCAGTTTCTCCTCTTCAGCCTTCTGAGACCAGGCAGAATTTAGTGCAGATAGAAGTTGTGTTGAGCTAAGGCTGAGATTACTGCAAGTTCCATTCATTTAAACTGCCTTTTTTATTTTAAAGGATCCCAGAGATCCTTTTCATAGAGCGTTGCTTGACAAAGGTGTATTTTCCTATGAGTTGTAGGGGGCAAAGTACAGGTTTTTTTCCCTGGGTCCAGAAAGGGTTTGAGGCTACCCTGTCTTGAGGCTAAGAAAATTTAACTCCTTAGCCATGCCTCTGGCTTTCTTACCTGCTGACACCTGCTGAATTATACCTCAGATGCCTGTGTGCTTGGCTTTTCATTATATACATCATGGAGATGGTTCTTAAGGAAGAAATGGGTGCCCAGATACGCTGTTCAAGTGAAAGGATACATCTGACATTAAAAAAAAAAAAATTTCTCATGATTTTGGGCATTTTTCTTTTAATGTAGGAAATGTATTTTGGTGGCACTGGAAGTGCAGCATCATTGTCCAGGAAGGCGGGTAAAACAGGTCTTACGTGAGCAAGTCCTACTCAGCCTGCAATTCTCTCTTCTTGTGCTAGGAATGACTGTGCCAGACCTTTTCCTATTGGCAGTTGAGATGGGAAGGCTTGTAGAACTTGTGGATTTGCTGACGGGCATGATCAAGTCTACTGAAGACAGCTTGCCAAAAAAGTACCAGCCACAGTGGTTTCCTGCTCTGGGAATAAAGAATCCAGCAGGCTGTTTCTCCGCTGGCTTTTCTGCTTGGAGATGTTCAGACACTGAGCTTCTTGTTAGCAGTGTCTGTGTCATCATTTCGTGCCTTATCACAACACTTGTTAGTGATGAATGACAAATGATAGGTCTTCCACTTAATGGGATGGTACTTTTTTTGGCATATTTCTTATTCCATGGTCGATACACTTTGCTAAGTTAGACCTTTGCCAGCAAGCACGCAGCTGATTTACTTACTTCTGATACACTTGCTCTCAGCTCTTCATTCAGGTGGTAGAGCCTCTGGAAATACGTCTTTGCTCTAAAGCCTTCTTATTACTGAGGGTGTGCACTCTGTGTTCTGCCCTTGCAGAAATTGGATACTCAGGAGCTTTTTCTTGGCAGTACGGCTCAAGCAGCTTTTTAATTGTAAGGGACACCACAATTTACAGTAGAAAAGTATTTGAGTTCATGTCAGCCAAATGAGCTATATTCCTCTCCCTGTGCTGTTCAAGATCTCTTATAGGTCTTTGGCAAGTTCTCTTGCAAATGTGAAAGCCCTGTTCCAAGTCTTCTAGGGAATTGCCTTCGTGTATACCATTTGGAAGCTTTATGTAATGTAAGTGTTAGTAGGAAACCTCAGGCTGCCTTAACAGGAAGTCTGGCATCCTCTCTTTTCCCAATATGTCAGTTTAGGTCAGTAGTCTTCAAAATGGATTTAATGTAGAGATGATGATTCTTCAAGAGAGCCATTTGGCCTTTGGAAGAAATGCTTGCTGATGAAATATAATTATGACAGAAGTTGTTGTTAACTTTCTTCTGAATTTTTTTTTTACAAAACTCTCTGTGGGGCTGGAGCATTAGTCTTCGTGTTGTAATTTGAAACAAGGTGAACTGCATACTTTTTGCAGTGTTTTCAGCACTAAGATGCTGCGTGGTGTATTTTTACCTGTATTTCCTTGAGGTTTTTTTAATCTTTAGTACATTGGTGGGCTGACAGTATGATGTACTGGTTATTGTTTTACACTGATGATATTGTTACACTTTTTGACATATCTAATGTATCTGTAGAAATCAAGTAACTGGAAAACCTGGTTGAACCAGGTAAACAATTTGCAATGAAAGGCTGTGAGAACTGTAGTAACACCATACATGAAGGAAATGTAGAAAGCTGTTCCCAGCTTTAGGAAATTTTAAATTAGGTTTTTCAATCTGTCATTATGCTTTTTCCCCCTTCTCAATAAGACATACAGGGCTTTGTTGAAAAGTATTAAAATGGTGCTTATTTGCTTTCTTGGGCTTGATTTCCTAGCAGAAGACATTTTGAAACCTTTAGAGGCTCTATAGGACAAAATTTAAATGAAAAGACCCTGCATAAAACAAGTGTGAGACTGAAAGATAGGTGAAATCTCAGCCAGTTAAAGTTAACCTCACTAGAACTAGGTGCTGTAGTTAAGAAACATTTGTGTTAGAAGGGCTTCAGGAATTGTGGAACTGTAAATACACAAGGTTAGTGAATGAACTTGAAATAATAGACTCATGCTCACTGTATCGATTGTCTCCAGACTCAAGAGAGTTCTATGTTCACTTGTACAAAAACCAAAAGAATTCATCATAATCAATGCCCACAAGGGTTTTTAAAAAAAAATTTGAATTCTGAAGTTCATGAATGTCTCCTCTGTTATTCTTGTTAGCCCTCATTAAGTGATTTCCAAAGTGCTCTATTTGTTGTATAAAATAAACTAGGATT